AGTGAAGTGAAACACTGTGTACACTACATGTATGTTGGTGTGTCTGTGCGTCTTGAGTGGGCACAAACGATCTTGTTCCTCGTATTACTAATAGATTATTGTCCCCACCGTCACCTGTTCACAGGTCTTTGAGTGGATTGATTTTCATTGAGCATCACATTTGTTGAGAACTTGGTAGTTGTGTGCTCCCATGCATCATTACGGTAATAAGCGTATCCTTGTGTTATCTATTTGTTGCAGGTGTGCTGATCTTCAGAAGCTTGCGGAACTGAGTGCTGCTGAACATTTGCATGGCCATGAGCAATGGTGAAGCTTGCTATTGCAGTCTCAGCATGTGCTAGTATTATGCTGACCACTGCACTATGTTACTCTCTTACACTACTACGTGTATGTAAACGTGCGTGTACCCGTCCCCGTATGCATTCGTTTCGTATAATTATTTGTTATCCCTCTTGACTTTACATGTAAATGGGTGGACGTTTGCATGGCTGTTGGAGTTGGGTGTGTATTGTGTCTCTACTCTTTCTTTGGTGTTTTCTTGGCGTTGTATAAGTTTGTGTGTGTGTGTGTGTGTGTGTGTGTGTGTGTGTGTGTGTGTGTGTGTGTGTGTGTGTGTGTGTGTGTGCGCGCGCGCGCGCGCGCACAATAATTTGAAAACAAATAATTAATCCTGGGCTCTCCATTATTCTCTTTCGATTCTTGTTTTTTTTCTAGGTATTTTCTTGGCGTTGTGTGGGTGTGTGCATGTGTGTGTGCGTGCACAATAATTTGGCACCACTACATGATTGAGATATTGTAATTTGCAGCGTCTGCGAAGAGACCACTTGATTTGAGGATGGTGTTTGTAGGGTTTTTCATGTAATGAAGTGGCTGCAGTGGCGCCTCAATACATATTTTTTATCTTGAGAAGTGAATGATGTAAAGGATTAAAGGGAGAGGTCGTTTTCTGGTTAATATTCACTGCTTACAGCAGATCCTATGTCTATTTTCGAACTCGATAGGGGATGCGTAATTGGCTGGACTTTATACAGGGGGTGTCGTCCACATAAAGACTCTTTATAGTTGATTTCAAAGTTTGGACTCCGTACAGTTGATTTTGGACCAATGGACTCTATAATATAGAGTCCATTGGTCCAAAATCAACTGTCCAGCCAATTGGCTTCACCCCTATATTATAGGGGCTTCACCCCTATATTATAGGGGTGAAGCCAATTGGCTGGACTCTATACAGGGAGTGATGTCCATCGAAACTTTGAGCTCACAGTTGATTCCAAATTTGGACTCTGTACAGTGGATTTTGGACCAATGGACTCTATATAGGGGTTGGACATCATATAGGGGCTGGACGCTCTACTGAGTCCAACATATATCCCCAATGGCGATTAGGCATCATGTAGGCATGGCAAGCACATCACGGCAAACAGTGATAAAAAGCATTGATAATATGCACAGAAATAAAGGGTGGGAGGGCAGGGACACTGGTGAAACTCAAAACTGACTGAAGAAGTCAGGAAAAGAAGCGACAACAAAGAACACACCAGATGCATTATTTGCAACTGAAAAATATTTCGCGAGAAATCATTTCTCGCCTATCTCGCTGCGCTCGGCCGGCGAGAAATACAACTTCTCAATGATCAAATCAAAAAGTAAAGTGGCTCAGAACTGGACAATTCACATCTCAATTGCTGTTAACTAAGGCTCAGTATCAGAAATACTGAATCACCTAGTTAGCAATTCAATGCAATGGAATACATCCGGCTGTGAGCAGAGAGGAACGCTTTTGCAGAAGGACACAAAGCTTGTTGATCAGTGACAGCCAATATGGCTACAGTTTGGCAGAATTTACGCATCTGACCAACAATAGAATGATTATATCATTTCGTCTTTTTTGCATACCGTAGTGACGCACATAAGGCCCATGCGCTTATGAGTGAGTTTTTGCGTTATTTTTTAAATTTTGCGGATTGTTTGTCTCACACATAGGCGCATGCGCCTGAGTTGCTAATGTACCGGTACCTTGCATAAGTATGCACATATTGCAGTACCACAATGCACATTAAACTATGTGAACATGGTGTTTTTGTGGTGTCCGTGTGTCGCGGGATGTACTGCATTAAGGTTCACTTATACGCCCATGCGCTCATTTTTGAGGGTTGCTATTATGCCCGGGCATAGGCACAATATGCGCGTCACTACGGTAGCCGCCAATCTTCCCTAATTTTGTCCTACATTCTGTCTACAACCTTTTCTCAATACATGCGTCAGAACAGATAGCCATATCATCACAGGACAGCACAACACATGGCTATCCTGAATACCTATAGCCACCTCTATTCATCATATGCATGCAAAACCCGACAGCCGCTCTTGAACTAAATAAAACAGTGGTGCACTTGCCTTGCAATATCTTCAGTATGGTCTCGTGTTACTGATGCTGGAGACATGTCCTGTGCAGAAAATAATGGATAAAATCGAAAAAGCAAAGGCCAACTTCTCAAAGCTCATATTCATTATGCACCATATTTGGGTGAATTTTGGCAGAATGCTGCTCCTTGTTCATGACGTAGGCCAGCAATCATACCACGGACAAGTGTAAAAATTACAACACCCATATGTCCGTGTTCCCTGGCCATGCTCAGTCCGAGCCAAAAACGCACTCTTTGCAGACTACATCCCCACATGCAACACAACGTAGATCAACAGAGAGTAGAGAACTGACCAACTCGGGTTTTACTGTGTTTTCGTCACGTGTTTCTAGCAGTATTCCACCCCCCTTAATTATTCGTAATTGGTAATATTTTGAAGGAGCCAAACCTCATTTGTCTACTACAAATATAGCATACATAATGTAAATCGCCCAAAATTTGTGTCACTAAATTTTCGCTGTTTCTTAGAACAAGCAAGTTAGCAATTGCAAAATTTCGCGAAGCATTGGGGCCACTTGCCTTATACCCACGGTTGAAGTTTGATT